GGGCTTCCCCCTGGGCCTCCTGTGGCCTCCTGGACCCCACCTGGGGCTTCCTGAAGCCTCTTGGGGCTCCCAGGGGGGGATATCTAACATTTGGCCGTCGGGCCCGCCCAAAATTCGGGGGGGGGCCACAAGAGCAGGAAAAACCAACGAATCGGCACCGGATTTGTATTAATTTGACACGTTCTGATAGGGGGCTTCCTGCGGCCTCCTGGGAGCCTCCTGGGAATCTCCTGCAGACCCCTGGGGCCTGTCCTGGGCGTCCTGCGACCTCCTGAAGCTCTCTGGGGCCTCCTGGGGCTCCCAGGGTCCCAGGGAGGATGTGTAACATGTGGTCTTCTGGGCCCCCAGGCTGGACCACCTCTTGCGCGGCATCTGGGAGCTCAGAGTTGCGAGAATGTCTTGTGCGAAACGGGCCGGACCAACTTGCGCACGGCATCTGAGAGCTCAGAGTTGCGAGGATGTCTCAGGCGAGACGGGCCGGTGTCTCGGGCGAAACGCGCTGCGAGGAAGTCTCAGGCGAAACGGGCCGGACTACCTCGAGCGCGGCGTCTCAGAGCTCCGAGTTGCGGGGGCCTCCTGGTGCCTCCTGGGGCCTCCTGGGGACCTCCTGGGACCTCCTGGGGCTTCCTCCTGGGCCTCCTGTGGCCTCCTGAACTCATCAACGAATCGGCACTGGATGTGTATTAACTTGACACGTTCTGATAGGGGGCCTCCTGCGGCCTCCTGGGAGCCTCCTGGGAATCTCCTGCGGACCCCTGGGGCCTGTCCTGGGCGTCCTGCGGCCTCCTGGAGCTCTCTGGGGCCTCCTGGGGCTCCCAGGGAGGATATGTAACATGTGGTCTTCTGGGCTCCAGGCTGGACCACCTCTTGCGCGGCATCTGGGAGCTCAGAGTTGCTAGAGCATAATGTCTTGTGCGAAACAGGCCGGACCACCTTGCGCACGGCATCTCAGAGCTCAGATATGCGAGGATGTCTCAGGCGAGACGGGCCGGACCACCTCGCGCAGTGCATCTCAGAGCTCAGAAGTTCGAAGATGTCTCAAGCGAAACGGGCCAGACCACCTCTCGCGCGGCATCTCCGAGGTCAAAGTTTCGAGGATGTCTCAGGCAAAACGGGCCAGACCACCTTGCGCAGGGCATCTCAGAGCTCAGAGTTTCGAGGATGTCTCAGGCGAAACGGCCCGGACCACCTCTCGCACGGCACCTCGGGGCTCAGAATTTCGAGGATGTCTCAAGCGAAACGGCCCGCACCACCTCTCGCGCGGCGTCCCGGAGCGCAACTTTTCGAGGATGTCGCAGGCGAAACGGCCAATCCCGGCCAACTCAGAAACGAGAGATGTGAGGATGTCTCAAGCGAAACGGCCCCAACCATCAAATTTTTGTGAGGACGTCTCTGCTCCGATTTCCCTCGGCCGGAGTTAGCTTCTACCACAACAGCACCCCGTTCAGCAAGCTGTTTGGGGAAAAAGGAGAGCAGGGAAAAAAAGAGAAGGTGGTGGCATGCGAAAGCGGAAACTAGCAGGACAAACAAGGAAGGGACGCGACGAGAGGAGACGAAAAGAGAAATGGAGCCAACGCAACGAATTTCAAATTGAGGCCCCCAACCAAAGGAGCGCCAGGAAGAACAACAACAGCAACAACGACAACAGCAACAAGAACAACAATCATTGTAAGACTGTTCGCTCTTATCTGCTCGCGTGTCATTCAATACGCATATCCCAAACCCTGGATCCCCACCCTCTTCGTTTTCGATCGTACCCCCTTTTGGGGGGTGTATTCATTCCCTGCCACGTGTGGTTGGTGAAGCCCTTGAAGACGAAGGGTAACAGATAACGGGGGAGAATGAGGACGAAGGGATCGGAGGGAGGGGAGGGGCAAGAAGGATGGAGGACGATGATTTGCGCTGCGAGTGGCGATTCAGCTTGCGCCATGGACGGATTGGCATTCGTATATGGGCCACAAAGGGCGACAGCTAGGCCATTGAGGGCAGCAAAGGGGCCAACGAAGGGCAGCGAGAGGGCCACGAAGGGCGACGGCGGGGCTACGAAGGGCATGCGTATGGGGCCACGACGGGCGACGGCGAGCGGGGGCCACGAAGGGCATATAATGCGGGGCCACAATGGGCAGCGACGGGGCCACTGAGGGCAGCAACGGGGCTACGAAGGGCAGCGAGCGAAGGCAACCGCGGAACCAGTACGGGCAGCGACGGGCATCGAAGGCGGGCGAAGGGCAGCGAGCGGCGACTGCAGTCCTTCACGGGCTGGTCGGGCGGGAAGGCTCAGACGGGCGGGTCGAGCGGGCGGGTTGTTGAAACGTAGATTCTGCTTGAACCGCCAGGCAATATGTAGCGGGAGCGCGATTCCTGAGTGTCGAGGAGCGGCATCTGAATACATTGTGAAGAAGTATATATCAGGCGGGAGCCGCGATTCGGCAGTAAGTTGCGAGGAAGTCCCAAGCGAGAGCCCGATTCTTCAATAAATTGTAAGGAAATATCCAGCAGGAACCGCGAACCGGTGGCAAATGATAAGGAAGTCCCAAGCGAGAGAGCGATTCTTCAATAAATTGTGAGAACGTATCAGGCGGGAGCCGTTGTTGTTGTAAACCGGAGGCCAACAACACAGTTTGACCCTCAAGACTTTCCCTGCCCTGAACATGGCACGGCCATCAGAGGACATGTCGACTCCTACCCCACGCTTCGTGGAGGTTTCGGATGGACCAGAGATTGCGGGCCCAACCATGGGATATACAATTGGGGGGGCGTCCACGCTCGAAATGCGTCCTAATAGCCCCCTCTGGGGTGTATCCCAGGGCGCGCCTCTCCCTGTCCCGAGGACCTCCCCTCCAGACGTCACTGCCTCTTCGTGACGTGGGCCCAAGGTGCTCTGGACCCCTCCCCTGGGGAACGGCTCGTCATTCTGAGGCGCTCTGGTTGGCAGCCATATGGGGTCCCGAGGCGACGTCTGGACACCGAGCACGACGAACAAAAACCCGGCAGAACGTGTTCGAGCCACCGGGGGCCTGGGTCCCCACAGCTGGGCAGTACCCAGCGGCTCTGCCTGGAGCGAGGGCCCCACGAGAGGATGGCTGGGAATACGGAGCTCCGCAGGGCCTCGCTCACCGGGGGGCGAAAAAGAGAGCATCGGTGATGCGCGCGTCGTCTTTCGAGCTGCGCGTGCTGCCAACCCGCATGTTGCACAGAAGCTTGTTTCTTCAACAGTAACACATCAACACGCTGATGGGGTCGTTCGACCACCGTGGTACGGATACTGATTTCGCTATCCGAACTCGCCCGCTTGGGGGCAACGCCTCGCCAAGGCCCCCACCGCTGTTACAGTGCGCTGCCAGCTCTCGAGCAAGGGCGATTGCGAACTGTCGCCCCCCCCCCTCCAGGAGGAGGGAAAAAATATGGGAGAGGAAGGAGGGTCGAAGACGTCATTGCCCGTTTGGTTTACACATTTGGATATCGGGAAACCTCCGGGATGCTCCACGGCCACACGGGTATCTCAGGAGGCCTCTGCGGATGTCCGAACACATCATTTGTTGATCCCTCCTCCTCCTCCTCCTCCTCCTCCTCCTCCTCCTCCTCCTCCTCCTCCTCCTGATCCTGCTATTGCTGCTCCTCCTGCTCCTCATCCTTCGCGGTGGCTGCGGCCTCTTCGATGTAGCCGACGCAAATCGCGAAGTGCTTCTCCTTCCACCCGACCCCGTGCTTGCGGGCGCTGGCGACGAGCTGCTGCCTGGGCAGCTGAAGGAGGCAGAAGGATGGGGCCCGTCCCAGGGACGGAGGGGCCCTCAGAACCGACCTTACGAATCGTAGCGGCCAGTTTTGCCCTCGAATCCTGCCGAGACATGGCAGGAGTTGAGCGCGCCGTGGGGGTCTGGTCTATACCCCCCCCCCCAACGTCAAGGCAGGGGGGGGCGTCAAGGGGGCAAAACGCCTAAGCCGTCAAGACAAACCTTGGGACCGAACTTAGCCGTCAAAACCAGACTTGGCGAACAGATTCAGCGACGCAGGCTTTCATATCCTCTGCTTCCTCGTCATATGCCCCCCCCGTTTCCTCCCCCATGCCCTCATAATTGTTACTTTGTCTTTACGCCCCTCGTCTACATTCGCCCGTTAATGTTCCTGGTGCTCTCGTTTCTCATGTACCTCTCCTCGTGCCCCTCGTATTGCTGATCTACCGTATCTTCTGAAGTATCTACCGTATCTACCTTTATCGTTCGTCCCTCTTCTGATTCGGCTACCCCCTATATGCGCCCCCACCCCTGATATTTTCATTGAGTTTAACTTCGCGCCCTCGCTCACGGCTGCAAGTATCTTCGCGCCGTGGCCCCTCAGACCCTGGAAAACATCAGACGGTGGAGAAGTAAAGTGGGTGCGACAAAGCGCGAGACTGAACGCAATGGTGGGAGTTAGAACGGGAGAAGCAGGACAGGACTTGCGCACGGCAAGGGCATTAAGGACCCCGAGTCCAAGAGAGGCGGGTCGCAGCACGATGAGGGAGGCGCATTGTTTTCACCCACCTGCGGCCCCGAGCGAACGGAGTTGCGCGCCCCACCTGCGGACTGCACAGCAGTCCCAACCGCTGAGAGCCGAGAGCAACCTCGGCCAGACAGAAGGAGAGATGGAGAGAGCGAGCCAGGGAGTGAGGACTGAGGCGCCAGCTCGCGAAGCCACCATCGCGAGGGAAACTACCACGCCGTGAAGAAGTGTCTTTGTACCCCCCATCCTTATTTTCGACCCCCCCCTCGCCATTGCCCCCCTCCCCCCAGTCGCCATGCGAAGGGGGGAGGAGATGGCGGGAGGCATGCGGAGGAGGAGGAGGAGAAAGTGGATGAGGGCAAGTAGGAGTGGAGGAGGAGTAGAAGGATTGAGGATTGTCTTGGATAAGCGCCCCAGTGCGGGGGGCATACACAAGCTCAACTCCGAAACCAACTTTCGACACGCACGAATCCCACATCGTCCCACCACCCCTGTTACACCGCGAGCCGTGCAAGCGCCTAGTCCTTGCGCTTGGTGCGGCGCAAGCCGCCACCGCCTGCGCTCTTGGCGCGCGCCGTCCCCGTCGGCGGCGGCACGGGCTCACTCGGCGCTGTGGCCGACGTCTCAGCACCCTCGGCCTTCATGGCTGGGAGCTTCGAGCAAGACCCAACCTGGCTCAAGGTGTCCTTCTGCTTGGGCTTCGGGGTGCCGCCGCCCGAAGCAGAGCCTGTCTTCGAGTCGTCCTGGTTCATGGCGCGACCAACCTCCTCCGTGCTGGCGTCCTTCATGGCCTCGAGCTCGCGCCAGAAGCATTCTGGAATGCAGCTCGTCCTCTGGTTGCGGTTCTTCTCCAAGAACTCGCGGGCAAGGGCGCTCCCCTGAGGCTTATTCGAGTTCTCTGCGATCAAGAACGAGCCCCTGATCAGCACCGAAGCCTGGGTAGCCTTGCCCTGGGCGGGGGGGGGCGAGGCAAAATGGTGAGGCGCAGGATGGCACCAGTCGGAACTGATTGTAATCAGCACATCCTATCCATCCTCCTCCACCTGCTCCTCCCTGCCCCTCCTCCCCTCCTCCTCTGATCCTCCTTCTCCTCCTCCTCTCCCTCCACCTCCCCCTGCCAACTCCTCATCCACTCCTCCTCCTCCTCCTCCTCCTCACGATTCTCCCCCTTACCCTTCTCCTGCTCCTCCTTCCTCCTCCCTCTCCCCCTCCCGACCCCCCTCTTCCTATCCTCCTCATCCTGCGCCCCACCCCTTTGACACCCCCCAGGCCAGCATCTCCACGCCGACGGCCACCGTCTGGCTGGTCAGCTCGTTCTCGCTCACGGCGGGCGTCAGCAGCATGAGCTCGGCCGATACGCTCAAGCGTGCGAGCCCGCCGTGCAAGTCATTGCAAGCCTTGATCACGGGACCCAGCTTGTTATCGAAGAAACTGCACGCCATCTTGACATCCATGACCGCGTTCTTGAACGCTGCTCCATACGATGGAATCGTAGTCTTCACCACATCCGCCAAGGTGTTCACATGCTCGCACATCATCTGGATGATGTAGTTGCGGCACTTCCTTGCGAAGATCCCCACGAGAACGAGCCAAGACCGCAACGTCTGGACACCGAAAGGGAGCTGCCACCCGTTCGCCTCCAGCTTCAACGCGCCATGCGAGTTGATCACGCCGTCGAGCTGCACAATCATGTTGCTGAGAATTGCCTGCATGTAGACGGCCTTGTTGCACCCCTCAGTGTCGAGGCTCACCGCGTCGGAACCGCCAACGTTACTGTAAAGCGAGCGCTGCAGTGATGCCATGACGCTGGCAATGTCGTTCGTCTTGTTCGCGATGTCGAAGTAGACCACGGCGTCGTCAACAGGCATCTGCTTGTCAGACTCGCAGTTGAGGTTGACGCACCAATCAGTCTTGATGTGCGCCAACGAGCTTGCAACCACGAACTGCCTCAAGTTTCGCATTGCATTGTGGTGGGGACAGCATGCAATCTTCTGCAAGTCCTTCGCGTCGCCATCTTCGAAGTTGATGCCGAGCTCGAGGTCAGCGGTGTCCTTCACTTCGCGAATGAGCATCTGGAATACAGCTGAACCCCTCGCGTTCTCGACCACCTCCTTGTGGACGTCCCCAACCCCGAAATCGAGAACCACCTTGATATTTTCAATGGACTGCCCGACGAGGTCGCACGTGGCACGATTGTAGATGTCACTGCCTGCAAAGGTTGGCCCCACCCTTTCGATACTCCCCCTCCATCCTGGACCCTAAACCCTCGAACCCCCCAGCCCTTCGAGACGGCCAAATCGAATAATTTCCTTTCATGTGCCCCGGCCTACACAGGACCCGTGCCCCCTGGACCGCCCCCTGGATCCCAGACGGCCCCCAGTAAACGAACGGGCGTGCCAACCAATGTGGGCCATCTGCGTTACATGCGCTGCTCTGACACCCCGCGTCACCGATGGTATCCGTGAAGATCTGCATCTTCTCCGACAGCTGGCTGAGCACCACGGGGTCGGTTGCGGAGCTCTCGGCAAACCACTTGATGGGCTCCGTGGGCCATCTAGAGGTTAGCTTGGCGAGGTCGATGACGTTGCTCTCGAAATTGGCGGGTGTCTCCTTGGATGCAATAGCCATCGCAACCTCCGCGACCTTCGTGATGTACTCAGCGCAGTTCTCCAACTGATCCAATGAATGATCTAGGTCGGACTCAAAGGGCACCCTGTTGACCTCACCGAGCGCATCTTTCGCGAGGCTGCCAGCCCTTCGCAATACATCCATCGCGATGGTGAACCAGCGATTGTGCATATCCTTGATAAGCCCTGCGCAAGCACTCAAACCCTTCTGGTAGTCATGGATCTTGGTCGTCATCTCTAGGATCAACGTGCTCAAGCGGACGTTCTGCTCATTGAGCTTCTCTGGCAAATCATCGTCCCCCTCACCCTGCCTGATCTGCTCGGCATTCTGAAGCATGTCCGATAAATGCACGCCCATGTCGATGATGTCCTTGCCGCAAACATGGAAGAATACATGGACCATGAGGTATTTCCCAATCTTCAAGATCTCCTCGGAGTTCTGCAAAGACTCGATGACCATGGAAACGTTCTGGTGCACTGCTGCAGTAGACCATCGCTGGAATGGGCCAGTCAACCCCGTGAAAAGCAATCCCAGCTGCTCAATCGAAGCAGTTACAAGGGTGAGCTTCCCCTCTGAGCTCGCAACCAACTTATCTCGCCAAAGACTGATGTTGTCGAACGCATCTGAAAACATGTGTTCGAAGTGATCCACTGAATGCCGCATGGTCGCCGTCGCGGCGTCGTCTTCCACATTCTGCGCAACGTGAAGCCTGGAGACCTCCATGACTAGCTTGGGTACGACGTAGCTGACCATGATCCGTGCGAGCTCTGCTGCAGGATTGTTACCCCAGGCCTGGCGAATGGTCTCGAGAATGATTCTGCGAGCCTTCCTCACCAACTGCGCGTCGGGGCGCCCGCTCTCCTGGTGAAGACTGCACTGCGTCACGATAGCGATGGCCTTGAGGAGCTCGGAGAACACGCTGTCGTCGTCGTACCTAGAACACTTCTCACTCCAGATGACCGCTATCGAGGTCGTGTCGTTGACAAGCTGCTTCGTCAGCTCCTCGTCCTTCAGGAGGTCTACGTTCAAAGGGAACGCCCAGCTTCGGAAAGCTTCGGAGACCATGGTAGACATGTGATGCATAGTGGAAGCGTCGGTGACCACGCGAGTGCTCAAGTCTGCCGCGCAAAGTTTCGCCTTCTTCTTTTTGCTGTCGGACGGTGCAGGGCCAGTCTCCTCAGGTTCGACTTGCTCCTCCGCAGCTGCCGTGCCAGCACCGTCCGCAACTGCAGCGTCGGGTTGAATGACCTTCTCAGCGATGTTCGCAGCGAGCGTGAAGACCTCTGGGTTCATCACCTTCAGAGCCTGATGTACTTTGCCAGCCTTCTTGGAAACACCTTGGAACAACGCGTAGCCGAGAACAATGCAGAGCTCTTGGGAAAACGTTTTGCCGATCACGTCCAAGTAACCCAGCAATGCCGAGAAGTGCGGTAACGTCTTCAACAACAACGACTCGTCTTGTGCTTCGAGCCAAGACTTGATGCTCTTGTACAGCTCGATGATAGCAATGGTTCTGGCTTCGAGCTGCTTGTAGCCCACCTGGAAGTCGTAGTTCTGCTTGCCAAGGATGTTCGGCCCATGCCTCTGAAGTCGCCGCAACAGCGCCTGAACTGTCCCCAGCTTGAAGGCACGGTGCCAATCTGGAGCTGCCAGCTTCGCCGCGTAGTCGTTGATCGTGGTGCGCATGCGGTTGATGCACGTGAAAAGGTTCCCGCTTGGCAACACCGATGCCAATGATACATCATTGATCGGAAGCCCATCGATGCAGAGCTCGCTCTCAGCCCCGTCACTGATCGGAGGTTGCGCGACATCGTCGGAGCCGACTGGGACAGCCACGGTGACATGCTGCATTGGGACCGCCACGTCGGTGTGCTTCATCATCAGGATCAGCATCTCGTTCATCTTGCTGGACATGCCATCGACGGCCTCGCGCTCGGCCTCACCTGGCACATCCTCCAGCTTCTCGCCGACAGCAGCCTGGTCAGCACCGTCACCCTGCTGGGCGGACGCATCGGGAGCGCCAGCGCGAGCGCACCCCTCGTCCTTGGTTGGGACCTGGTGCTCCTGCATCGGCATCGAAGCCCTGCCAGCGAAGACAGCTTCGATATCCAGCATCTCGAAGTCTCTCTCAGCTGCTCCTTCCACGAGCTCGCGGTGTTCCTCCTTCACCATCACGGCGCCGTGCGCGGCCATGGCCGCTCGCGCGGCGGTCTCGCGCTGCCTCCGACGGTTGGCAGCGCAACCCTCTGCTGCACCGCAGGCTGCAGCCTGAAGCCAAAACGGCTAGCACACGGAGGAGGAATGGCGGAGGAGCGGGAAAGACGCGGCAACCTCTTCGAGTGCCGTTCTGCCAACATCGAGAATAAAGACCATCCGTGTCGCTCTGAGAATAAAGAACATATGTGTCTCAATCGGTTGGGCAATGGCGAGAGGGAATATCAGTGTGACCGCAATCCGCACCTGTATCATATATCAGAGCTTCGCTTCACAAACGGGTGTCTAGGCTGCCACTCTGGATGCACAATGCAATGGGAGAACGGTGGGCCATGCCCCTTCATCTTCCAACACTCCCCTCCTCCTCCTCAGTCCTCTCATCCTCCTCCTCCTCCTCCTCCTCCTCCTCCTCCTCCTCCTCCTCCTCCTTCTCCTCATCCTCCCCCTTCTCCTCCCAATCGGAACGAATATGTAAGTGATTGATGCCCGTTGGGGCCCTCAGTGAGGTCATCCCCCTCCCGTTGCCCTCGACCAGTGTAGGACCAGGGCTTGCCACGTAGCTTGCACTGCGCAAACATCTGCTGAGTTTCAGGGCCCCCTTCCGAACATAGTTGAGATCTTCCGCTGGGCGCCAGAGCAAGAGCCTCGAATCGCTTTGCTGTGCTATACTGTGCAAGTGCGCCAACTGCACTCTAACGCAACAACCTAATATGATATGGTGTCTTCCGCTGCTACGTTTCCAGATGCAAACGCATACAAAGTTACGTAGACAACACTGTGTCATACATTAGTTTAAAAGTACCTTGCCATGCTGTGCAATGCTGTGCTACGCTGTGACCTGCTGCAGAAGGCAATGAGAGGTGCCATCAATTACTGGCCGCACTGTTACATGTTACATGTATGTTTGATCTTGTTTGTCATGGTGATGCTGTTAGGTGATGGCGTAGCCTTTGAGATATGCACGCAACGAAAGAAGACAATGGCCACAATGGCGGACATCTGAATCTGATGACTGGAGATGCTTATCATTTACATCCTCAACGGTTCAGCATGCACCCCCCAGCGGGGGTCGGTAGCAGTCGGCACGACGCAGCCGACGGCAAACAATCGAGCGTTGGTGGAGCGCCCATGGCCCCACTGAGGCCTCACGATGCAGCCAACCTGGCTGGCATCCTCGTCATCAGAGCTGCTCACTCTTGCTGCTCTGATCTGCGAGCGAAAAGGCCAATCTGGTCCTCGTCCTCGTCGCCGCTGCTCAGAGAGTGCTCGGAGCGTGGGGCGTAGGGGTCGACGTGGCTGTCGAGGCCCGAATCATTCTGTCACAGTGGTCTGCTTTGCCATTCCACTTCGTCTGGTCCACGAGCAGCGCCGTACTGACTGCGTTCTGAAGGGATTTCAATGATTTCCGAAGGCGCCTGACGCGCTGAATGAGCCACCTGCCCTTGAGCCTCGACACGAAGAGCGTTCTGAAGAGCCGCTTGCACTTGCGGCGCAACTGGCTATCAGCGATGTCCAATACGTAGGGCGGGTACGGTATCACACCGTAAGCATCTGCATGCTGGAGACGTTTGGGAGGCATGGCCGCGAGATCCTTAGGTGTCGCAGAAGTGGAACCAAGAAAAGCGGCTTAGACCGAAATGCATACGGACCCGCAAGAAGGACACCAAACAATAATGATTGTCGTTCGTTCACTGCGCTGACCGAAGTGCATGCAGACTGGCAAGAAGTGGTGAACTGAATTCGTTCGCTCAACCGGACTCAACCGAAGTATTTCTACCGGAACACAGGCCCGAGAAGCAGACAAGCAGGTGGCTGGACACAAGAGGAACGCAATTGGTGAATTACAGCAATCTCGAGACCGACTTTGCTGCTGGATGGATACTAGCGGCCTGACACGTGAATGAATTACACATATTCGAAAGCTGCTTTGCTTGCGACAACGGCGTGGCAACAACTTCACTCATGCACGTGTTGACGTGCTGATGTATTGGGGTATGCTACAAAATATTATGTCATGCAGACCGCGCGATTTCTTTTGTTGCTGGAATACACGAATCGGGACACTCGTTGACACAGTTGAAACCTAAAAACGATGGCATCACGACTCTCATGATTCATGACCGTTTGGACGCGCGCCCCCCTACCCCCCCCCCCCCCCCCCCGCCCACCCGCCCGCATGCCCGCCCACCCACCCGACCACCCCACCGCACCACCACCACCACCACCACCACCACCCACCCACACCGCACACCATGAACCACGCCCCTTGCCCCAGCATTACCACCAGCCCCACCAGCGCCATCAACGCAATTGTGTTATTACCATCAACATCCGACCCCAATGCCCCCTCACCCCCACCCGAGCCCCACCCCGCCCCGCCCACCCGCCCACCCCCACCCCGCCCACCAACCCACGTCACGCGCGCGCAACCGCCACCACAACTACCACCACTACCACCGCTCCACAACCTTCTTCTCCATCCAAATCCGCAACCCTTCAGGACTGCCCCCCCCCCCCCCCCCCCCCACCCCGCCCCCGCGCGCTACCCCGCCCACCCACCGCCACCACCACCGCTGCCCTCCATTCGCAACTCGAGCCCCTGCTCCGACACCCCCCCGTCTCTATTATCACCTCACTGCTTCTGCGCGCTCGCGTGCGTCGCGGTGGAGGAGGGTAGCAAGGGCAGGGGTTGAGTTGGAGAGGTGGCGAGTGGCTCTCTATTATCACCTCACTGCTTCTGCGCGCTCGCGTGCGTCGCGGTGGTAGCAAGGGCAGGGGTTGAGTTGGAGAGGTGGCGAGTGGCTGGGGGGTGGGTGGTGGAGGGGGGTGGACGGGTCGGTGGGGAGGGGTAAATAAGGGCGAGGCAGGGGGTGCGGCAGGGGCAGCGCAATGGCGCGGGCGATGGTGGCGGGAGAGGACATGGCACAGATGGAAAGACGAATTGGGCGATGATGGGGAAGCGCGCAGGATAGACAAATGCGCGCGTAAGTAACTGAATGGTTGCTTAGTGAGCACGGGCGCGGGAGTTGCGGTGTAGCGCAAACGCGATGGCGGTGATGGCGGTGGTGCAGCGAGTGCGCTAGTGGAGTAGTAAAGCTGGCTGGAAGAAATGGAAATGGAATGCTGACTTGGGCATGGCGTCAATGTGCGCATTGCTCGTGGGCGCGCGCGGTTGAGATTGCGCGGGTTAAATGTTCGCGCGCGCGCCCGCGCGCGCGTGGAACAGTTCAGTTGCGGCGGCATTTCGCTGGAGAAACAATTGGAGACGTTGGTGAACAAGGGTGGAAAGGCGAGTGGGTGGCGCAGTGCGATGCGGTGCGAGAGAAGGAGGCAGCGGGGTTGACAAGGCGTGGGAGCAGCGTAAGGACCGCGAAGGTAGGTGGTCGCAAGATGACCAAAAGGAAGAACGGGCGCGTGGGTGGCGGAGAACCGCTGTAAGTGGCGGCGGTGAAGTGAGGCGCGCGCGCACGCGCGCATATGAGGGGCGCGGCGCGCGCCCGAGGGCGCGGGATGAGGGGCGGCGGCGAGCGCGCCGCGAGTGGACGGGGTGGTGGGCGTGGTTGGGTGAGGCAAGGGAGGGCGTGCGAAGGTGGAACGCCTGGAAGCACCTTCGTAAGTGCACGCGCGCGGCCGAATGGCCCGCGACGGTGGTGGTTGCGGACGCGGCGGCGGGCGAGCGGGAAGGCTGGTGGATGGCAGAAGGTGGTGGATTGGATAAAGGGGTAGCGTGGTAAATGGGTGGAGGGTTGTGCGCGCACGGTGGTTTCGAAGGTGGCGCGCGCGCGCGGGATGCACGCGGGCGGAGCTGGGCGAGGGCGGGAGGAGGTGATGGGTAGGTGGGAAGGGGGAGAGCGGCGGAGAAAGGGCGTGGGAGGGTGGACGCGGGGTGGGGTGGCGGTGAAGAGGTTAGGGCATGTGTGGTGAAAGAAAACCAGGTCGTGTAAGGTTGCGTTGCGGGCTGTGCGCGCTGCGCGCGCGTGCTTGAGAATGTTTGGCGCGCGCGGCGATGGCGGCTGCGGCGATGGCGGCGAAGAATGCGCGGTGCGCGGGGGCGTTGATGCGTGGGCGCGCGAGGAGGGCGATGGAGGGGCGGCGCGACGATGGGTTGTGGAGGGGTTGATGGTGGGAGGCGGGCGCGCGCGCGCGCGGTGGAGAGCAGAGATGGCTGCGGTGATATCGGCGACAGCGGTGGCGATGGCAGCGGCGCGCGCGCTCGTGCGACGGTGGCGGTGGGCGTCGGAAAAAGAACCTTGCGTCGAATCGTCTCCCTTCCTCGGCTTGCTTCTTGCCTGTTCATTGAACGTGCGAGGTCGCGCGCCGCGCCTATCTCTCGTCGTTCATGACCGCATGGTTGCATTGAAAGTCCATATCGTTCTTGGTATATCCATCTGCTCCGCGGCACCTGCCCGCGTTATCTCTCCATCCCCCCGCCCCCCCCCCACCCCCCCCTCCCCCCCCCCCCCCCCCCCCCCCCCCCTGCATCCAGCTCGCCCGCCCGCCGACTCGCGCCAGCGGTCAGCGCACGTCGCGCGCGCGCCCGCTTCGCGCCAGCTGGCTCGCGCAATGCTGCACGCGCGCGCGTGCGCGTCCAACCACCAGCCGCGCACGTCTACGTGCGCGTACGCAGCAGCGCCCGTGCAAATGTTACCTGCGCGCGAGCTGCGCTTGAGATCGCGCAATGCGCGCCAGAATGCGCGCGTTGCAACGCGCGCGCGTGCGCGTCGCGCTGGCCTCTTCGGTTACATTCCAACGGTTGAACGTTTTCTGCTCGGCGGCGCATTCCCGCTGGATTATAAAATGGCGCGCCAAGGGGGCCAGGCCGAGTGCCTCGGTTTCGCTCGCGCGGTGACGTGCAAACCGAGCTCGCGCGCGAAACGCTACGTCAGAGATGCAGCGCAGCGATGCCACCCGCCGCAAGTAGCGAACGCTACCAGCAAGCGCAGCTACCCCGCGCAAGCCGCTCGGCGCAACCCCTTCTT